GTGCATGTGTGTGTGTGTGTGTGTGTGTGAGTGGTTGGGCCATGTTTGGACACAGTAACCTGTTTTGATACTAATCAAAGTCTGATCCCTCTTTCTTTTTCCCTTTTTTGTTTCTTTTCTTCTTTTTTTTTTCCACTCACTCTCTCTGCAGATCTTGGACGGGTCAGGCCATGTAAAGTTTTGCGTGGATGCCAGCAAACCAGACGCAGGCAGCTGGCTGAAGCACATCCAGTTTGCCCCCGCGKCCTCGCAGCATAACCTGACAGCGTGCCAGATCGATGATCAGGTATGGGAGGACTCTCTTTTAAACACATCACAATTTCTATATAATGATCTAAAGAAAAGGAGAGAAGCACACGACTAGAGCTCAAAAATTCCCAACAGATGATGTGTTTTTTGAAACGTGCTCCCTGGCAGAATGCCTCCAGTTTTAAACTCCTTTCTTTAAGCGGAGTTTCGATGCCAGAAGGCCTCCCTGTCCTGTCTGCACACTGTTGTGTTAAAAGGTGTTATTGTGATCTAAGGCAGATATGTGCAGTTGGCCCACCTTGCTTTCATTTAACACACACACACACCTTCTCCCATGCTGCAGCACAGAGTCTCCTCACTATCTCTGCGTGTTTGCCCTCCCACGGTTGTGTCGTGCGAGGACCACAGGGCAYGATCAGAGGCAGCCGGCCCGAGACGATAGTTCCACTCACTTCCCAGTCACGCTTTGCGATATAAACTCTTAGATATGTCAGGAATGCTGAAGTCCTTTTTCTGCTCACCTGGCTGCAGAGAGGTGCGTGACGCGTATATGGGGGTCTGTTCATCTGTGTAATCCCACAGCCCTGAGAGGAAGAGGAGGAGGAAGGGGGGGTGTGCTCCTGCACAGACAACAGGCCTAAACTTTGACGCGTGTGTGGAGCATACCATCCCCTGACCCGAATGAAACACATAATCTGGCTCGCATGGTTGTCATCTCTTCTCACAGGTGGTCCATCTAGATCACTTGTTCGGCACCAAGCGCAGAGATTCAAACAAAATCCGTAGATGACGTTCCCTTCAAAAATTTAAATAAAAATACTTGTACATTTAGATACTAAACTAGAGAAAGGATTTGCCTTGACGTACTGTGTAAAGGTTTCTCCACTCAACAACCTTTCCCCACATCTGTGTTCTCTCTTCTTGCTCATCTCATTAAAGAGGTAGCTGAAGAAGCTCATAAAGAGGAGGTGAAATCAGAGCAGGAGCCTTTCAAATGCACTTACCCCCACTCTTCTTGTTAAAAAAAGAGAGACAGAGACAAACAAGGAGAGAGAGAGAGAGAGAGAGAGAGAGAGAGAGAG